TCTGAATGTGTTTATCTAAGACAGGGGTCTTCAAACGTGGTCCTTTTATGACTTGTGGACTTCAACTCCCAGAATTCCTCAGTCGGCCATTTTGATGAAACTGCAGGCTTGGATCCAGACCAGGGGTCTTCAAACCTGGCCCTTTTATGACTTGTGGACTTCAACTCCCAGAATTCCTCAGCCAGGCATGCTGGCTGAGGAATTCTGGGAGTTGAAGTCCACAAGTCATAAAAGGGTCAAGTTTGAAGACCCCTGATCTAAGATGTTCCAGGTCAGTTTTTTTAAAAATAAACCTCATGTTTAAAAGAAAACGTCTTTAAAAAAAAACAACTATGCTATTTTATAGCCTGGTAGAACAAAAGTTAAAACCAGTGAAATTAAGCTTTAAAAATACTTACAACCGTGCTGGAGGAACTGATACTTACTCTTAGGAAAACCTGATTTACAATGGCTTTGTTTGCATACATAAAAGTTGTGAGCAGTCCTATTCCCAGAGAAATGCCTGTTAGGAAAAAAGGGCCAATTATACAAGCAAAAAAAAAAAGGGGGGGGGAGGAATCAAAAGGAAAAAACAACAACAAAAGTAACAAAAAGGCACCAAACCAAAGATTCTTAAAAAAAAAAAAAAAGTTAAGCAAGAATTTGCATGCGAGAATATCAATGCTCTCTAAGACAAGGAAATAAATCCAACTAGCCTTTTATACACAGGGGCGCTGCAGCCCTAAAGTGCAACAAGATCCTATACAATTAATGAATCAGAATCCTAGTGCTAGTGCTGAATTAATAAAGGGTATTTTTGTAGCCCTCATAACAGAAGGGAATGACTGATAAAGAGAATATTTGTAGCTGAGGTTGAAATGTGGGGTCCTTGGTGCTCTCTGGACTTCGGTGTTTTCCTGCAGTCATTTCATGACCCAACTAGCTAACATCACCAGCGCCGGTAAGGTAAGGGTCTTCAAACTTGGCCCTTTTATGACTTGTGGACTTCAACTCCCAGAATTCCTCAGCCAGGCACGTGTGCCTGGCTGAGGAATTCTGGGAGTTGAAGTCCACAAGTCATAAAAGGGCCAAGTTTGAAGACCCCTGCTGTAAGGAATGGTGTCTGCTCTCTGTTTATATAAAATGAGAAGAAACCCCACTCTCTATTAGCACTGGTGATGTTATTTAGCTTGGTAAAAAAACGTCTGCAAGAAAACCACCAAGCTCAGACAGCACCAAGGACTTTATAGTCTTCCTCCCCCTCATACCCCACTCTCTTCCAGCATGGATGATGTTACCTAGTTGGGTAAAGAAACGTCTGCAAGAAAACCACCAAGCTCAGACAGCACCAAGGACCCTACAGTCTTCCTCCTCCTCATACCCCACTCTCTTACAGCACGGATGATGTTACCTAGTTGGGTCATGAAACGTCTGCAAGGAAACAACCAAGTTCAGACAGCACCAAAGACCCCTCAGGATAGGATGAGCCCGACATTTTGGGAAAATACTTGGTAAAGGCAGGCTTGGAGATGCCATGATATACTGCAGTTTCCTATCTAACCAGTTCTCCACCTTCTTCCTCCCTGTCCCCTGGCAGCATTACGCAATCAAAACATCGTATAAAACGCAGGAAAGGGAGCAGAAACTCAAATTACAACGCCCTGCGCTCCGAAAATCAAAGCAGCATAATTAGAGCAAACAGCATCGTATCGGTGAAATCCTTTTCATGTGATTTACACAACACAGCCACGTTCATTCCGACAGCGTGACCTCTAATCTTTGCTATGTAGCTTCACCTGGCTTTAAAACAAAACAAAACAAAAAGAGATGTGGGTATTTATTTGCCCAACTTGAACGCTTATTTTGAAACAAAATCTCTCTCCGAATTCAATGGAGCATGGCAGGAGCCATTTTATAGCAGTGTTTTCCCACTGCAGCCACTATTAAGATGGGTGGACTTCAACTCCCAGCATTCTCCAGCCAGCTGGAGCCCACACATCTTAAAATGGCCGAAGTTGAGGAACAATGTTCTATAGTATTCTCCTTGAAGGGAATCTATTTTGACACAGCAGGTTCTCTACATCCTAACGGTGAGCTGAGAGGCTCTGTGTATATGGCAACAAAAGGACAAATTAAAATTAAAAAAAAATCTAGATGCTCATTAGCAATTTTTTTCCCAATGCAGGCACAGAACGTAAAATAGAGGGGGAAAGGGCAGGAATGGCATTTAAAAGATGGATCCCCTCTTCCCTTCAAAATGGGGGAACTGAACTTCAAGATGAAGCTAAGAACCAAACATCCAAATACGGAAACTATGCCCCAAACCAGGGGTCTTCAAACGTGGCCCTTTGATGACTTGTGGACTTCAACTCCCAGAATTCCTCAGCCAGGCACATGTGCCTGGCTGAGGAATTCTGGGAGTTGAAGTCCACAAGTCATCAAAGGGCCACGTTTGAAGACCCCTGCCCCAGAGGCCAGAAACCGTCTGTTCTTCCATTTACTGAAAATGGGAAACACACAAAGATTGCGTTTCTTACTACAGGGAGTCCTGGACTTGCAACCGCTTGTTTAGCGACCCTTCAAAGTTACAACGGCACTGAAAAAAGTGACTTACGATTGCTTCACATTGACGTTTGTTGCAGTATCCCTGCGGTCACGCGATCAAAATTCGGGCGCTTGGCAACTGGCATGTACTTACGACAGCTGCTTTATCCTGAGGTCATGTGATCACCATTTGTAACCTTCCCAGCTGGCTTTTGACAAAGAAAGTCAATGCAGGGAAGCCCGATTCCCTTAACAAATGCGTGGGTCACTTAAAGACTGAGGCAAAAAGGTCATTCAATGAGGCACAATTCACTTAACAGTTGCCTTGCTTAGCAATGGAAATTTGGGGCTCGATTGTGGCTGTAAGTCGAGGACTATTTGTAAATCCTATCCTAGACTGGATAAAGCCAATTCAGAGGAACTGGTATTAGATTATTGGATCTGAAATAGGTTCAGTGACATCAGTTTGATAATGAAGGTTTTTGCCTCCCAATTATAGCTGACTTTTTATACGAATATTTTCAAGATGGTGTTAGTATTCTCTAACAAACTTCCATTTACTGGTGAAAACAAATGGGTACAGGTGATCCAGTTTTGGTCACCACGATGTAAGAAAGATGTTGAGACTCTAGAAAGACTGCAGAGAAGAGCAACAAAGATGATCAGGGGACTGGAGGCTAAAACATATAAGGAACGGTTGCTGGAATTGGGTATGTCTAGTTTAACGAAGAGAAGGACGAGGGGGGACATGATAGCAATGTTCCAGTATCTCAGGGGCTGCCCCAAAGAAGAGGGAGTCAAGCTATTCTCCAAGGCGCCTGAAGGCAGGACAAGAAGCAATGGATGGAAACTCATCAAGGAGAGAAGCAACCTAGAACTAAGGAGAAACTTCCTGACAGTTAGAACAATTGACCAGTGGAACAACCTGCCTCCAGAAGTTGTGAATGCTCCAACACTGGAAGTTTTTAAGAAGAGACTGGACAGCCATTTGTTTGAAATGGTATCGGGTTTCTTGCCTGAGCAGGGGGTTGGATTAGATGACCTTCAAGGTCTCTTCCAACTTTGATGATGATGATGATGGAAGGTAATCCTCAACCTTCAACCAGTCCCTTAGCAGCAGTTTGATCTGACAATGGACACAAAAGGTACTTACGATCCGGAAGTCTTAATGGCCACCCCAATCCCCAGGCTGTAACCACAATTCAAGGGCTGAACAACCAGTTTTCATTTATGTCTGTTTGCAGCTTTACAACTACTGCCTTTGCTTAATGGGTGCTGCAAAATAGGTCATAAAATGAGGTTGCCCACTGATGGCCTGCTTTATGACCATCACAACTTTCAACCCTTGGTAGGCTGCAAGTAAGTATCCTTGAGGATACCTGTATCCTTAAAAGTCTCCTTGAAGGAGATGGGCGGTCTGGAAACATGAAATATCAATAAGATAAAAGCTACTACAAGTGGGGCAAAGAGCCACGGGAAGGTCCATGCTCGGCATCACGAGACAAGATAGAACGACCCGCACATGGATGAGAGAATAAATGAAAGTATAGGATGCCATCAAGAGAGTAAAAGAACTGAAATGGAAAAGGGGCTGGTCGCATAGCAAGAAGAACTGACGGCAGGTGGACCAAGGCGGTCACAGAATGGATCCCACTTGATTAAACCACCTGAAGGCAGGACAAGAAGCAACGGATGGAAACTAATCCAGGAGAGAAGCAACCTGGAACTAAGGAGAAACTTTCTGACAGTGAGGACAATTACCCAGTGGAACTGCTTGTCTCCAGAAGTTGTGGGTGCTTCATTACTGGAGGTTTTTAAGAAGAGACTGGACAGCCACCTGTCTGAAAGGGTATAGGGTCTCCTGCTTGAGTAGGGGGTTGGACTGGAAGATCTCCAAGGTCCCTTCCAGCTCTATTCTGATTGATTGAAAAGCATCCACGAAAGAGACCTAAAACAAGATGGATCTACAACATCAGGAAGTATGGCAGGCCCAATTGGGCCTTCATCCAGCAGTAGATAGACCATGGAGGAGGAGGAGGAGGAGGAGGAGGAGGAGAAAGGACAGTAATCTTTTTCAGTGATAACAAAAACATTATACAGCAGGACAAATGTTCTACCTTTCAACATTTTTGATGGCTCTGGGCTGTCCCCTGTTTTTGGTTTAGTTTGTGCATCAGCAGAACAGGGGAAACCATTTGGTATGTAATTAACATCATTTTTAAAATCAATTTTGGGTACCACAATTCGAGACAGATCTAAAAAAAAAGGGGGGGACTTATTCAAAGGGACTGCAAAGCTGGTTCCCAGATCCTGATTTTGCTTTAAAATCAAAACTCCTCAGAAAAGGAACGATCTCCTCTATGGCGGGCAGAAGCAAAATGTCTTTTAAGTTGTTAAGTGAGTTTTGCCCCATTTTACAGCCTTGCTTGCCACACTGAAGTGAAGTGTGCTATGCCGGCTAACGTGCTCATTCAGTAAATTTGGCTTCCGCGCTGACTTTGCTTGTGATTCCCCCGGGACAGTGCAACCGTCATAAGTATGAGTCAGTGGCGTCTGAACTTGTATCACGTGACCATGGGGATTGGTCACTAAACAAATGGTTGGAAGTCGAGAACTGCCTCAAGCCCACAATACTATAAAATAAGGTTCAGGTAGTCCTTGACTTATGACCATGGAGCCCGGAATTATGGTCATAAGTTGTGTCAGTCCTTAAGCAGGTCACCACTTGACTGTGCCTGATTTTGCGATATATATATATATATATATATATATATATATATATATATATATATATATATATATATATATATATATATATATATATATAAATTGTGCTTGTTGTTATGCAAACACGGTGGTCATTAAGCAAATCCGTTGTCTTCAAATCCATTGTTTTGTTGGAAATTGGAAGGAAACGCTGAGTTTTGGCCCAAAAAAAAAGTAAATTGTGGTCACATGACTACGGGAGATAAAAATGGGGGATGGGTGCCAAGCACCCCAAATCTGACCAAATCTGGAGTGGTCCATCAGAACTTCGAACGGCCACTAAGCAGCTGTTTGTAAGTCACGAACTACCTATACCAGGGGTAGGCAACCTTGGCTCTTTTATGACTCGTGGACTTCAACTCCCAGAATTCCTGAGCCAGCCATGCTGAGGAGAAAGGGAGAGGTTTCCATGCTGAGCCATGCTGGCTCAGGAATTCTGGGAGTTGAAGTCCACGAGTCATAAAAGAGCCAAGGTTGCTTAACCCCTGGCCTATACTGAGGATCTTTTAAAAGTAAAAAAAAGTGTTTACATCCGTGTCTAATTTTTAAAGCTTTAAAGCCTTTGTGGTTGAAACAACCTGATTAGAAGCACTTGAGGAGGTCTTAAGAGCCCCAAATCGTGTTATCAAAATTATGAAAATCAAGAGAGAAAAAAAATAGATGGAAATATTAACTGGCACGCTTCCTTTATACAAGATGTCGAATTTTAGCTGAGTATTTCACTGGATTCTTTTTTTTTTTTTTAAGGCTTCAAAACTTCTGGTCTTGAAATCCAGACTGATCCATACCCAACTCGTCCATCACATTAAAATACACTTTAAAAAAAAAAACAACCCCAAACCCTGCTGTTTCCAAAACACCCAATAGGTTGATACGCTACCGATGATATGTTGCGCGAGAATTTTGAGGGACAAAATCAAGATGTACGGGATGCTCCTGTGCAGCCACTGGAGGAGGTATTTGACTTCTGAGAGAGAACTGTCCCTCTGTTCCTCCAAACCGCTCGAGTGACCGCTTCTGGCTTCACCGGGCAGGTGGCCGTGAGTCCCCAACCGAGAATGTTGCCTGGAGCCGGCATCTGCCTCTGGCTCCCCAACAGCCGAGCTCATCTGGATGTGGATGTCCCCTCCGTGTGGGCAAGGTTCTTCTCCTGGAGACCTGGTGGCGTGAGTGCCCTGGCAGGAGGGGCCGTGGTTGTGGCCGTTGTTGAGTCCACTGTGTCGAACGTTCGAGCTGGATTGCATGGTGCAGAGCGGGTGGCGACCTGCTTCCAAAATTTGGACTGGGGTGCGGCGATTCCTAAAAGGAAGAAAGGAGTGGATGGTTAGAAGAGAACCAGCCTCAATTAGGAACGAAAAGTACCGTGTTTCCCCGATAATAAGACCGGGTCTTATTTTAATATTTGCTCCAAAAGAAGCATTAGGGCTTATTTTCCAGCTAGGGCTTATATTCAGGGAAATACGGTACTAAATGCGTCTGTCTGGCTGACGATCTTAACCGGAGCTTATTTTGGGGGTGGGGCTTATATTACGAGCATCCTGAAAAATCATGCTAGGGCTTATTTCCGGTTAGGGCTTATCTTTGGGGAAATACGGTACTAAATGCGTCCATCTGGCTGAAGATCTTAACTGGGGCTTATTTTGGGGTGGGGCTTATATTACGAGCATCCTGAAAAATCAGGCTAGGGCTTATTTTCCGGTTGGGACTTATATTTGGGGAAATACGGTACTAAATGCATCTGTCTGGCTGACGGTCTTAACTGGGGCTTATTTTGGGGTGGGGCTTATATTACGAGCATCCTGAAAAATCAGGCTAGGGCTTATTTTCCGGTTAGGACATATTTGGGGAAATACGGTACTAAATGCATTCGTCTGGCTGACGATCTTAACAGGCTTATTTTGGGGACTGTGGCTTATATTACAAGCATCCTGAAAAATCAGGCTAGGGCTTATTTTCCAGTTGGGTCTTATTTTGGGGGAAACACGGTAACAGCAGATATTCCTCGATTTACAACCGTTCGTTTACTGACCATCTGAAGTTACACCGGTGCTGAATAAAGTGACTTGCGACCGTTTTTCACAGCCTCCCCGTGGTCACGTGTTCAAAACTCGGGCAGTTAGCAACTGGTGTGTATTTAGGATGGTTGCACTCTCCCAGGATCACGCGATCACCTCTCTTGATCTTCTGACAAGCGGAGTCAAGGGGGGGGGGAAGCCAGCTTCGCTTAATGACTGCCTAATTCACATAACGACTGCAGCGATTCGCTTAACGGCTGTGGCAAAAACGGTCGTAAAATGGAACAAAACTCACTTAACAACTGGCTTGCTTAGCAAGGGAAATGTTGGGTTCAATTGCAACCCTAAGTCAAAGGCTCAAGTAAGTGGGGAAGGGGTCTTCATCATGGGAGGTTTTTAAGAATAGTCTGGAGATTGTATTGGTTTTCCCACACTTTGAACACTTATTTTTCAATTTATTGGTCACTGCAATCACCAGAGCACCTGGAACCCCCAGCTTTTAATGGAGAAATAAAACTCTGGAAATTGCCTCAAGCCCATTAAGAGGAGTTTCATTTCGGCGTTTACCACCCCTTAATTAGGATCTGCTTCACCTACAGAAATGTACACACCGTGGAGCAAAGATTCTGGAGAGCAGCCAAGGTTGGCGAACCCAAACTCATTCCCCCCCCCCTTAAGTGGCTGTAAAGGACATTAAGCCACAATAAACCAGTTGGCTGGTCTTCTCTCACAGTTATTGAGAGCAAAAAAAGGAAGGGAGAAAGGCATAAAAGTAAGGATAAAAATGCAAATAAGCAAACAAGTCCAACAGGCTAGTGTTTGTTTTTGTAAATCCAAGATTTACTGGGGATGGGTGTGAGGGGAGTGGGACAAACAAGAAGTCCTCAAGAGCAGGGCTTTTCAACCTTTTCACCCATTGTACCACTTTTAGGATATGGCAACATCCGAGTACCACCAGGTGCCTAGATAGGTGTCAAAAACTTGACACCCCCCCCAAAAAAGGAAAAAAGTGATAAACTACAGGTAGTCCTCGACTTACAACAGTTCGCTTAGTGACTGTTCAAAGTTACAATGGCACTGAAAAAAGTGCCCCCAAGCCACAGCTGAGCAAGACACCTGCCTGCCCACCCGGTGGCGTTCTTCCTCCTGTCTGAGGTTTTCATTGTTGTGAGCATTTCTGTTGAGGATTGGCAGCGGAGGTGGGGTGGGGGGGTGTTTGGTTTTTATTCCCCCCGTCTGCTGGGTGGTTGCAGCAGGTTTTGGTCACTTCACATGACCCTGGGACACTGTGACCGTCATAAATATGAATCAGTTGCCAAGCATCTGAATGTAAATCACGAGATGCTGCAACATTCCAGCTGATCGGCGCTTCTTCTGGGCTCATCAGAAGCACCAGGATCAGCGCTGAGCTCCAGCTGGATCCTGGTGCTGATCCTGACGCTTCCGCTCAGCCCTGACAGCCCTGCAGCTCCAGCCATCTCTCGCTCAGGCTTGTGCGGTGCTGCCACCGGTTCAGCTCATTCCCCTCCCCCGCTACCACTTTTCTAGGATGGTCGCGTACCACCTGCCAGGTGCCAATGGACCACAGGTGGTACCCGTACCACTGGTTGAAAAGCCCTGCTCAAGAGAGCAAAATCATAGAATCACCTGGCTGGAAGGGACCTTCTTATTGTATCCTGGACAAACGGCTGACCACTATAAGCCAAAGTATGTGATATGGTTTTAACCAGGGTTTATTGAGTAAGCCACAACTGGGTGAATTGACACAGCATACCAAGATACAAATTCCAGTTTATTAACTACAATCAGCAAGCCCTAAAATGTTGGGAAGGGGGAACAAGCCACAATGATAACATGAGCATCCTTTCAACCTAGATCAGACAAAACTCCTGGAGAACAAAAAGTTTCTCAGCTCGGCAAGGAAAACGTAAGCAATTTGGAGCTATAAAGATGTTTGGGATTACAATTCCCGTGATTTTGAGACAAAGGGCAAAGAACTTTCCCCCAAAACTACATTTTAAACGCCAGCATTACTGAAAAAAATGGCATTTACCCTCTCCCCCAAATTGGGGGGGGGGACAAGGGCATTGGCCTTACCACTTATTTTAGGGAGGCAGCAGGTATATATAGTCCTCGAATTACTACCACAATTGAGCCAAAAAATTTCCATTGCTAAGCAAGACAGTTGTTAAGTGAATTTTGCCCCATTTTACGACACTTTTTTTTTTGCCCAGACTGTTGTGCTGTTCCACGGGATCGCATTGCAAGGCACACTGTCCTCCTGCTTGAGCAGGGGGTTGGACTAGAAGACCTCAAAGGTCCCTTCCAACTCTGTTACTCTGTTAGCTGTTAAGTGAATCGCTGCAGTTGTTAGTAACACGGTTGTTAAGTGAATCTGGATTCCCCATTGAGTTTGCTCGTCAGAAAAGTCACAAAAAGTGATCACATGATCCCAGGGTACTGTAACCATCATAAATACATGCCATGTCTGAATCTTAATCGCATGACCACAGGGACACAGCAAATGGTCGTAAGTGTGATAAACAGTCATAAGTCACTTCTTTCAGTGTTGTCATAGCTTCATTCATTCACTAAACGAATGGTTGTAAGTCGAGGACTACGTGTATTCAACCCGGTTTTACACAATCAATAATGCATTGGTGGAGAAGTCTTTTTAAACGGAGTCTTTTCCGGAGAAAGAGATTAATCACTGCTTTTATTGTGACAAACAGAACACCTAATAATAGTAATTCTCCCCGTCCTCTTCAGTGCTAACCCCCAGTCCTGTTTGGAAGGGGAGGAATGACTGGCGCAACCAGAGCGGCAGGAACTACAATGCCCCTAAGCAAAGGCAGAATCCAAACAGGTCCTGGCTACAAAAATCCCTCTTCCCAAAAAGCAACGTTGGTTGGGCTGATGCTTCTCTTCCTGTCCTCTGAAGCAAGTTAATTAATGAGAATATCAAAGTCATTTAAAAAGTTCAGGACTCCTTTGAGGCCAGTTGACCTAGTCCAGTGGTAGGCAACCTTGGCTCTTTTATGACTCGTGGACTTCAACTCCCAGAATTCCTGAGCCAGCCAGCTGGCTCAGGAATTCTGGGAGTTGAAGTCCACGAGTCATAAAAGAGCCAAGGTTGCCTACCCCTGACCTAGTCCTTTCAAGGACATGGCTGGACTCATTCATGGCTGGCGAGTGGGGTGGCTGACACAAGGGCCAGTGGGTTTCTGGGTTTAGACCTGGGTTTCCCAACCATGGCCACTTTAAGAAAGGTGGACTTCAGGTCCCAGAATTCCCCAGCCAGCCTGCTTTAAGATGGGTGGACTTCCACTCCCAGAATTCCCCAGCCAGGCTGCTTTAAGATGGGTGGACTTCCACTCCCAGAATTCCCCAGCCAGCCTGCTTTAAGATGGGTGGACTTCCACTCCCAGAATTCCCCAGCCAGCCTGCTTTAAGATGGGTGGACTTCAACTCCCAGAATTCCCCAGCCAGCCTGCTTTAAGATGGGTGGACTTCCACTCCCAGAATTCCCCAGACAGCCTGCTGATGGCTGGGGGATACTGGGAGTTGGAAGTCCACCCATCTTAAAATAGCCACGATTAGCAAACCCCGGTTTAGATTACAGCGGGATCACCTGGTGGTCTCCCATCCGTCCACTCTTTCCTAACTTCCGCGGTATCGATCCAGGCTCAGCTCTGTCTCCCCACCGATACGGGCAACTTCCCACCCACCCCACGCAGCGCCTTCTCGAGGGCAGCCCCCCCCCCGGCGCCCCCGCCCAGGGGATGATGGGAGTTGTAGTATGACCCGTCGCAAAACCGACGGGACGGTGGGGGGGGGAGACCAAAGGCCCTTCCCGCCCCGCAGTCCTGCCACCCACCTCTCATAGCGGGCCGGAGTTTCATGGCGAGGCCGGTCGTGGAGGCCCGGGCCTCGCCTCCACCTCCATGGCAGCCGCGAGGGCGGCTCCCCGAGCGCCAGTCTCCGACGGGGCGACCCAGCGAGCGACCGACCGAGGACCAGCCGCCTTCCACTACCGGCTCCGTGGAGGAAGAGGAGTGGCCGCGGCGGGCGGAGGAGGAGAAGAGCAGGCCGAGAGAGCGGGTCGCCACGGCAACAGGGGCGGAGCCGCGGGCGTGGCGGGACTGAGGGCGGCGCTGCGGAGGGGGCGGGATGGGAGGCGGCGCCGCGGAGTGGGCGGGACTGTAGGCGGCGCCGCGGAGGGGGTGGGATTATGGGCGGCGGCGCGGAGGGGGCGTGTCTTGAGTCCTGCTG